AATATCCATAAAATAATTAAATTAAAAAATTTAATCGTGGTACTATAAATCATAAAAACTCTACAAAAAATTTCTCCACCTTGAATTTTTCATAAATATTGATTATATCAGCCACTACTAACTCGTGCTCAAAATTATCAATATAGATAAATTTATTTGTTGACAAATTTAATTCTAAAATATCGTATATATTAATATTGCGTTGAAATACATACGTAAATAAAAGTTATTGATAAAAATGAGTGGTTGTTTGGCCAGAAAAAAATTAATTTCAAAGAGTTAAACTTTCATTATTAGCACGAAAATTATAGAGTTAGTAAATAATTAATAAATTTACACTAATTTTAATTTAGCTGAAGGTATTATTTGTAAATTATAAATGAATGTAATTACAAAATTTTATTTTACGTGCTTCTACACAGGTACCTTCAATTGTTCTGTTAAACTGAAAATAATGATAAAAAAAAATTCTCTATCATACAGTTATATTTTTAAAATTAGAAAAATTAGGACAAATATAAATTCATCAATGAATTTATAAGTTTACGTCAAATCTGTTACATTTTTAAATTTCAGTCACTGAAAATGAGGTTTTTTTTTGTAATAAGTGAGAAAAAACTGTAACTTGGTGTAATATTATTATGTATTTGGTTTCTGAACATATTTGATTTTTCAGGCCAGTTGGACAAAGTTGACAATCAGTTGTGAGTTTATTTACAGGATTTTTTGTAACAGTGCAGCCAAAGCTTTTCTCATGGCTCAAGTCATTTTTCGTATTACTAATCGAATGTTTAAACTTAGATTATTATCATTAAAAAAGTTTAAAAAAATAATCACCGATGCAAACAAAGCCTTACATTTTTCGCACATTTTTGCAATGCAACTTCGCAAAACCGATACACACAATCACAAAGTGAATCGGTCTTAACAATTTTTTAAAATACTTTAAACACTTGAGGCTTGCGTTGAGGATGCACAAGACCCCAAGGAAAAAAAGGCCCTCGGGAAAAGTCAGGAATTACTTTTAACTTTTTATTGACTTTTTTTTTATTCACCCGATGCCATCAGGCACGAACGAACCTTGAGTCGGGTATATAATATGTATACTTTTGTTTATATATGTGAACGCACACGTGCAGTGAGAGAGAGAAAGACCAGAAAGATCAAAGAGAGAGTGAGAGAGTGTCACACACATATATGTCAACAACAACAGCTGTTCGAAAATACGTCTTCTGCAGTGGTTGATTAACACGCAGCACGATTGCGCTTATATTATTAATTTCGAGCATTGTTTGCACAACCGGTGTACTATTGCGAAGTGACTATGAAAATGGCACGATGAAATATAATTATTCACCCGCACTGCCGCGCGCTCGTTTCACTGTTTTCGGTGAATTGACAATTATTTTCCTTGCCTTGTGACATCCAGAGCCTTTAAAGGGCTCCTTGAACATCAATAGCAATGCTCGCCATTATTTCCAGTGCTTGGAATTCGTTTGAGGGACTGATAGGTAAGTTGTTTCTGTTTTACTTTGTAGAACTCACTATTTTTTTCATTCACCAGTAGGTATGTGTTACTTTTAACGTGTACTTTACATCTACCTCCTGAATTATGCATAGCCAAATAATCATGACTAGTTTAATTTTCGTTGTATAAAAAATGTCTTCATTTTTCAGGTGACTACATAGACATTGATGTTACACTATGGCTGTTAATGCCTTTATTGATAACCTTTTTGCTTCCACTGGTGATTGTTATACTCTTGTACATCACTGCTTTGATACTATATGTTTACAGACTGCATAGGTAAGTAGGGATCGGTTGGGGCTTTGCCTTGCCTACAAGTCTAAATGATGACTTGTCTGGTTTCAGGCATCGATTGAGAAATGCTTATGGAACTGACTGGAGAAATGCATCCCGCAGTGTAGTTGCTGCCGTTTGGGACGCACACGGATGGATATGGCACGGTAGGAAGAAGCAAAAAGTATCAAGAAGTTATTATAATTCCGTTAGTTTTTCTTTTGCTATCCTGATTTTCATTTTTACAAGTGGTCTCATTCTTTCAATTTCATCTATCTATGATTGTCTACCTTCTACATTTTTCTAGTCGTTCAATTATACATTTTTTGTTTATTTTTTGTTTTTAAACAGGTTACGAAGTAGTTGGCATTGAAAACATTCCAACCAATGATCCAGTACTGTTTGTTTATTACCATGGAGCAATTCCTGTAGATATTTATTACTTCATATCCAAAGTGTTTTTATTCAATTCAAAACTAATACATACAGTTGCTGACAAATTTTTATTCAAATGTCCTGGTTGGCCTATTATTTCTGACGTTTTAAAAGTCATACCAGGAACAATTCAAACATGTTCAGCACTTTTGAAGGAGGGCAATATGCTTGCAATTTCACCTGGTGGTGTCTACGAAGCTCAATTTGGAGATACCTACTATCATACCATGTGGAAAAAAAGACTTGGATTTGCAAAAGTGGCTTTGGATTCCAAAGTAGTAAGTTTTTGTCTACCACTATTCATTCATAACTGGATAATTATTTAAATGCTTAATAATAGACTTTCATTTACATAGGCTATAATTCCAATATTCACAAAAAATATTAGAGAAGCATTTAGAACAATAAGCTGGGGGAGACGGTTTTGGTTAAGGTTGTATGCTGCAACTAGGTTCCCTTTTGTTCCGATTTACGGAGGTTTTCCAGTTAAATTGAAAACTTTCATTGGTAAACCCATACCGTACGATGGAAGTCTTACTCCTGAACAATTACAATTAAAGGTACCGTGCAGCTTAGTACTTATTTGAAACAATAATCACTTTAATTGTTTAATTTATAAGTATATTATTTTTTATCAAAGGTAGCTACAGCTCTTCATGATTTAATAAGTCAACATCAAAAAATACCGGGAAGTATATTACGTGCGTTATTAGAACGATTTTATGATTATGATAAGAAACCTTATGTTTCCGAAGATACTGCGGTAAAACTGAGAATAGAATAAATCGTTATTTTACGTGCTGAAAAGGTGTGGAAGGTTAGTCTTTTTCAAGTTTGAGAAAATTTTTATTTCTTTGGTGACTTGTTTTTACAGCTCATGATTAAAATACTTAATACATTAATCGGTAAGTAGTGTGTTTCAAGCATTTTATTAGAAAATTTTTATTATTTTTTGTAAATTTATTTATTATAAGCTTGCGTTCGGTCATCGACGGTTGGGTAGTCGATATTTAGCGGTGAAGAAATGAGTTTTATATTTCATTTTTGTGGGCAAAGGTAGTGCAATAGTTCCTCATTAAAAATTATTATAAAAATTCTTAAAGTATTATGGAGAAGGTGCGTGAGAGCGACACTGACAAATTTGAGTCACAAGCATACATAATTTTCACTAGTGGTTGAAATCACTTCAAATATACTACAGTTATAAATGTCGTACTTTTGAAGCAAATATGTTGATTGTTATTTCAAAACTCGAATCTCAGAAAGCTGAAATGTTTTAATAAGTCAAATCAAAACAAGTATAGTTTTCTGCAACCATGTATGTGTAATACTAATTATCAATGTAGCCATATGACATTTTGCAAAATCTTCATGTCAAAAATTATCCACGGACAGAAGTAAATGTGATATTAAAAAAAAATTTTAACTTTCTAACATTCCGCTTCATGTTACAACATGTCAATAATACTACGTATTACAAACAGCTTTTTTATTGTCTTTCCACGGATGTAATTATTCAAATGTCATTATTAATACATAACTACCCATCATGTATGATAATCAATTTTGTAAGAAGCCGTTATTAATTAATGAACTACCCGCTAATGGCTTGAGTAAAGAAAGAATTTTTCCATGCAACTATTATAGTCAAGTATTGTCAAATATTTACGTAGTAACATTTGAATACTTGAAAAAAAATTACATTAAATACTCATGATAAATGTATCATGAATGGTTTGATAAACGATAAAAAAAACTGTAAAGTACTTAAATACATACATTATGTGTAAGTATGTGTGCGCCATATGTATCTCATTATGTATGTACAGATACGGATTGTTTTGTACTAATTTAACATGTATTTATTGTTTTTATACGTGAAACGTTCAGGAAAAAAATCAAATAAAGAATGTGGAGTGAAACTGAGTTTTTTTTGTGTAAAGAACAAATTTTTGTCTTATAATGTACCCATAGAATTTCAACTGGTCTAACAAATAGATTTGCAGTGTTTGAAGCAAATTTTGAATAGTTGGCCCCAAGCAGCAAAGATGACTTCAATTTTATCGTATAGGTAATGCATCAAATGCAAATAAATTATAAAAATCAAAATTTTTACTATTTACGTAATATTACCAATCAAGGAAGATTCGCGCGTGATCATCATTGACATAGTAGGGATTCGGCTTACCTATCGTTGGATGTCGGTTCAACACGACCCCTAGTTAACGTCGTATCGGCGACCGCGTCATGACACGCAAATAAGGGGTGTTTTCCGCAATCGTCACCAGCAAGTAATTTAAATTTGCGCTCTGCGTTACCAAAAATCAAGTCAACAGCGATGAAATCTTCACTTTTTTCTCGACAAGCGGCGTTACCACCACGACCTACGTAACTTTGCAGCCTCTGATTTTATCATTCTGGTAAAGAGAGCACGGTGTAAGATGTACGTGAAGTTATGTGTAGTAATTAAAGTAATTACTACTAAGTAATGCCATATGGTCGATTTTATTAAACCATATGAATATCTACATTTTTGGAGGTCAACTTTTGGGTAAAAAATAGATTGTAAACTTGCCGCAAACAGCACAGATCACGTCAACTTTTTATTATCTATCTATAATGTAAGTTGCGGCTGGTTTATAATTCATTAAAT